CATACATATTCACAGGGAAAAAACAATCAAACCGTCATCATTGAAATTGAAATTAACACAATGAACGCCACAAGGAAAAACAGACCAATACAAAGACGTCTACGTCCCTATGTCTTCTGCCAATTTTTCCACAAATTGTTTAGCAAAACCACTCTCAAAGGCAGAAACTGCAATACAAGGCAATCTGGGCCAATACAGCAGGCAGACGCACTAACCATCCAGCAGCAGATATTATGTCTTCACTTAAGCAGTTTCACAAAGCAGCAGTAGCAAAAATAAGAGATCAGGGGAAATTGAACGTGTTAACACAGAACATTTGATGCCTCTTTCAACACTATCGGATTATTTAGAGACTATCTTCTAAATCTATAGTCTATCAATGATAGAATTAAGCCATGTCAGCAGAGAGATTTGGAAACTCCTCAAACAACCCTAGTTCAAGAATGCCCCATTGAGAACTCGATCCAGGATCATTCGTACCATTGCCCTGCATGATGAAAATTGAAAAAAAATTTACAAAAAACTCTTTACACCTTCAAAATATTCATTCCTATTCTTTATTAAAAATACACAAAAAACCATCTCGTATTCATTATCTGCCATGGCTCTCATAAAGCACACACACAAAAACCCCTCCAAACAAATCCTTAAATTAATTTCCTGTCAAAATAAACTTTGTATGAGAATCCTACTGTTCTGGGGGAGAAAACCCCCAGATGTTTACAACAGAACAAATGGCTGAGTTTCAATGCAAAAAATTGTGGCAGAGTCAAAGCCTATATAAAGAAACTTATTCATACCATGAGTATTTCAGGACTTCAGGGGTAAAAACCTCCTAACTTTTTGATAGTGGCTAAAAAATTCCCAGGCAAGTACATAATAGTTTTTAAAGACAGCAAAATCCCTTACAACAGGGTTTGTGTGCCAGTCTGACATAAACAGACACATTTCATGGAAAACCATCCAGTCACCACAGCAATCAAACAAAAAAGCAACCAAAGCAAGAAAAAAATTCTTCTTTTCTGAACAAATAATACAAGAAATATGAATGCTATAAAAAAAATGACACTTTGATACTGTAAGTTTTGATCATCATGGCAATAAGAAGCAGAGGGTGAGAATAACAGAAGACAAAACCAAACCAAACCAAAAAAATAAAAAGTTGCCCCAAAACAAAACTCAGCGAGACTGGTAAACAAAATCAGAGAGAGTGGCAAAGCTCTTTATTGTTTGTGTTTTTTTTCAGGTGATTGTTTTCCAATATTAATAAAGTTATGAGTTTCTTTTCAGCAAGAGAAGCCCCCACTATACACATTTTTCTAGCAAGAAATGCCACAGTTGCATTTCTGGGACCACACTGTAACACACTAACGTAGAACCTCACCTACAAAAACTGGCAACAAACCAAAGTTTATATTAATAACCCATAATAATTGTTGTTTGTACTATACATACAATATGGTGGAACTTTCGAAATTTCTCCCAAAATCTTATTTACGGTTAGTTACATCTACAGTATGCCTTAACACACAGGGTTATGAACTTAGTCCCAGAACTGTGCAAGAAAAAATTTCTTCAAATGGATGTTGCAGAAAACGACAGGTAATCTATGTTTGTAAATGTAGTCTCTTGTAAAAACATAATAGAAATCAAAACAATCAATGAGAAATGTAAAGTGAAGTTATTTGAAACAAAAAATTCTTGATCCTCTCAAGTGGCTAAAAGCCTGTGGTAGCTGTACGATAACAAATAAAACGCAAAGAGCAAATTTAAAAAATAGCTGCAGTTGTAGCTGATCCGCTGATTAAAAATGTTATGTTTTTAAAACAAGAGAAAACAAATGAAAGAACAAATGTCAACAAACATTTATTTAGAGGTTGAACGTTCCCGAAAAAATTACCCAATAAAGAAAATGATCAACGAAATTGTCTGTTCTGTCCCCGTGGTTTTAGGCACCCCGCATAATTTAGCAAAATTTGATCACTTTTTTGCATAATTTCTTATTATTTTCCTTTATCATTCTTTGTTAAAATTAACAGAATCGCAAAATTTCACATTTTTGGGCTCAGTTAGCATAATTTCATAATTTTTCTTGCATAATACGACGGGGACAGTCTATTTTGGTCTACACTTCAGGTACTTTCATGGACATCACAAAGGCCTGTGTTCCATTTCAAAGGGTAATGCAATAGAAACACCTCAAGGCTTGTTCCTTTCCCCAGGAGTCCTTTTTCTAAATTCCACAAAGAAACTGTTTTATTTCATTGAACTCAATATAAACGAGCTGTGCAGGTGATGGGACTAGGCCTGAATCAGATATTCCAACTTGAGTACTACGATGTCAGTTCAACTCGAGGACTTGGTTAAAAATTGCAATTCCTTGGTTTTCACAGAATTTCAATGCCGAAGGAGTTTTGAAAACTGAGTTAACATCTTTTGTGTAATGCATGTTTTTCAAATTCAAAAAGTTCAACAGGAGAACTCACCCCCCCCCCCCCTAAAAAAGAAAACCCAACAAAGACAAACAAACAAAACAACAAACTCTTATTATACTAAGACTTCAAAATGAAAACACCAAAACCCGCTTGTTTCTAATAGGGCAAAATGCAGCCAAGGTCATTTCTACTCGACAAAACGCCTAACCGAGCAACAAGACATCAGAGGGTTTACTCATCAAATAACGTTGGCACACCCAAATCCAACCTCTCTACTCAGACCAAGCAACATTACCTGGACACCGTGTAAGAGGGAACTGACCAACAACAATTTGTCGGCCGAAGCGACAAATTCAAGAATGATATGAATAATCTGCATAAATATCGATCTGTGAGCACAAAAATAAATACTTATTTCAGGACCCAAAAAATACATCTTGGACAATTTGCAACAAATACATGATACTAAACTAAAAATTAGTCAATATCACTTTCAACCTTTGCCTACAAACATACAAAAACATTATCTTGTATATCAATATTATCATACTTTCTGTTAAACATCCCAGATCATTAAAAATCAAGATCACACAAATTAGAAATAATATAATATACTATACTATACAATAGCATTTTAAAGCATAGCTTGTTAAAAAAGCTGTAAGTTCAGCGTACTTTCAGATCATTCAAATACTTTGATAAGCAAAAACCTCAACAGCAGAATAATGAAAAAGATCCCTTTAAAGCCTCACAGCACGTCTCTGCATTGCAAAACAGAATGCATGACTGAAGTGTGTGAACTACATTAAACCAACATTTTATTGTAAAAAAACCCAACATGTCACAGAATTAAATATGTTCACATGTGTATAAATTATGCTCACAAGTTAGCTCCTGTTAATCTCAGTATAATACGAATTTTTTACAAATCTAAAGCTTATTTAGGTCAGGTAATTATCATACAGACATAATCACATGAACTGTTATAGTTTCCAAAACTCCGATCATATCATCAGTCACATGCTGTTGGCTGAAAAAAAAAGTATCATCTTAAAACAAAAAGGTAGGAGAGGACCAAACTGAGAAAGTTAACCCTATAGTCACCTATATGATGTACGCTGTTCTTCATTTTCTCTTATATGTCAAAGGAGCCAAGATGCTGCTCTGATGTATGGCGTTCGTCATGCCTCGCGAAGCGCAAGGACTATGATCAAGTACACCATTTGTCACAGGTTGTATTCTGCTCCTATTATAGATACATTTTGTAAAACTAGTCACAAATTCACATTCATCAATATTTTTTCCGTAAAAAGAAATCTTTTCCTATTAGAGATAGTTAATAGTACTTACAAACCAGGTCTAATTTTAGACAACTATCCACTAAATCTTGCGCTACTCTTTGTCTGTGGGGATCCAAAACTGTGCCCTGTGAAGCACAAATTGACCCTATGTCACAAATAGGTTAACAGCCTTGAAACTACCAAACGGCCAGACTTCAAAAATACCCCCCTGGGGACTAGAACCAGGATCATCCACACTTGTAGACCAGCATGATGTTATCTGAGACATTGGCTTGCTCTGATACTTTGACGTATGACAAAAGTAGGGAGCTTCACCTTTCACTTCTCTAACATATTGTAATCAAAGTAATAGTTCGACTTCAAAGGTGCTGTCATTGAGCCTCATTTTCTCATCCCTCCATCACACCACTGATGATACGAAGCAGAATAGATGCATAGTGGAAATAATACGGATTTGATTAATGGCAGGAAATTGCCTCATACTTCGATACTATGTGTGTATTACCACGAAAAATGTTTGTCCATACTGGTGCAAGTGTGCATATCTGAGTCTGTGCTTGACACTCGCATGCATTAGATTTAGGCATGTGCATTTGTGTGTGTGTGTGTGTATGCTTCTGAGAGAGAGAGAGAGAGAGAGAGAGAGAGAGAGAGAGA